AACAAAAAACAACTTTTTCACACTCTCTTTCAGTAGTTCACTCGAGTCTAGAAAACTATGCGCTTTATTACATGAATATGATTTGCTTAACATACTCTTAAGAATACTCAGTGGGTCTTCACACTCAAAGCAACAAAAGTTGAGTTAAAATTTTGATTCTCTCATTCCGCAACATTTCACTCACTACGCCTTTATTCACCAGTTCAACACTCCATTAGAAAAAAAAATAATACTAACTTATAATACAAACAATAAACGACATTATATACCCCGGCGAACTGTGTCACGTAAAATGACTTGAGAACGCGTTAGTTCATACTTTCAAACAACTTACCGGAAGGGAAAGAAAAACTTAATTGACATCACTACAGTTTCAGGAACTCACCTGTGAAAAAAGAACAAAAGGCATTAGAAAACAGCAACTACAGTAGACACATAATTTAACAATACCACTATTATAGATTTAAAACGACTACTGTTTTACTACAGTAGAAAGATTTATTATACAGTTGTTACGGAAAAATGACCGAGATAATGTGACAATTCTAATTTGTATTTGTAACGTCATCAGTAGAATAGAGTTAGAGAGAGAACTGAAAAGAAATATCGAAAAATATTAAGTAGAATGAGACAAGCACTCGCTTCACTGAATTTCTGCAGGAGAAGGTTGTCTAGAAGAAATGTGGTTTATCTTACCAGAGCGCGCCCAAGCGAGATTTTACTAGAGCATGACGAGTAGATATTCAATTTACATTTCATTGCATTACGCCCTGAGGAAGGTCGCAGAATGGCGACCGAAACGGCACCTTCGCCATGGACGCGGCGTCAACCAGATAGCCTAGTAAATACATTTCATTGTTTTGTACTTTCAGATAATTTCTACAAAACGCAAAATGGAAAGATTTTAAAATCGGAACATTTATTAATAACAAATAACCTAAAATCTCGCAAAAAAATAAGTTTTTTCTGTCATGAGATATTGCGTGAAAGAACTATCGAGTAAAAAAACTGAATCTCATTTCAGAAAAGCTTTCACTGAACGTCAGCGATATTGCTTGACGATATTGCTTATTGCATCATTACCAGACCTCGTAAGTGCACGAGGGGATTTTATTATTTTCATTTACTATCGTCGAAAACCATAAAAACTGACTTGTGAGAGGGGGTGGAGTACACTCTTCAGCTCCGGAATCCCAACACCAGTCCCCCATTCTTCAAACCCACTTACCACATCGTAACGCATCCGTTATTAAGAGATCTGAAGATACGATTTAAAAATATCTTTTGATTAAAAAAATCTTTACATTTTTTGTATTAAAAATCTTTGTTTTGTTTTTTTACAGATCGACACAATTACAAACAGCAATCTAACGTTTCTTTTAACACTAGAGATCGTTGTATTTTATATTATCTTTAATTTATTTTTTAATATAAAATTAAAAATATTTTTATTGATTTTAATTACAATATTTTCATCCGAGTTTTATTACAATTTAATTTAAATTTGATGGAGGAAAAGGAAGATACATGCCCGTTAATAATATTCGTATATAAACCTGTCAAGAAATGTATTTGGAAATCCTTCAGCTGACAAAGTTGAACAATTTAAACCAAGTAGTATTGTTGATTACGAAAAAATATTGGTTATCAAACAGTCATACTAATCCTATGCCTCTAGAACATTATTTCTTTAAAATATCCCCTAAACCCAAGAAAACACATTTCTCTTCAGATTTGTATTGACACAAGAAGGCGAATATCTACGATGTATAATTATAAATAATTCACAGAGAATCCACGCTAACGTGCCGCAGAGACAATACATTTTTGCAATATGCTGGAACTTAAACAGAAAAAAATCGATCGATCAGTTATAATTAATCCTTCTTTACATAATTTGGGGAAGAGCAACATACTACTATTGTTTGTCTGCATCAGGAAAAGTTAAGCTGCTTGTTGATTCCTCTGGTGCCCAACACGAAGATGGGAACACCTCGTAAACAAGCTTTTACAGGTAGGGTTAAACTTATGGGAAAATAAAAAAAAACAATGCATCGTATACGGAGAGAATAGAGCGGGGAAATACAACGAAAGCAGCACTTAATGATACAAAAGAGGGAATTTTCTCCTTTTGCGGATACACACTCTCCATCACCTAAATAATAATGGTTGTCAAGCGATCAAAGAGACTTCCGCGAGGTTCAAGAGCACTTGGATGAGCAGCACTGCACAGCAATCCATCGTTCGTTATGTGAAGAAACTCCATTAAGGAGGAAGGAAAATTCTTAAGTGCATACGAGGAAAGTGAACAAGTTATAAAGTTTACCGCAACTAATCATTTTAAAACATAATGGTTTTTACGTAATGTAATGCAATTATATATACCGTACGTAATAACATGAAAATGCATATGAAATAAAAGAAGAGTTAGAATATCAAATTTAAGGGAAAAATAGAGCCTATACTGACGTATTTTTCCGATTATTCACTCTGTCGTGTACTGACTAAGTTTCCTTAATATTCCACAGCGGGGTGCCGAGAGAGGAAGTCTCTGGCATAGTTTAAAAGGGGCGTACCAACTGTTGGCAGGAACTTTCTGGGAGAAAGTGCAGAACAAAAATTCTAGGATTATTTTGAAGGTACTGGCTGTTGGCTGCATTTTAACGTGGCGTACCGAGTCGGCCCTAAGGATCTCAAAGGACTAGGGAGCTTGTATTTAAAAAAAAATGCGGGAGCAAAAGTGTTATTTATGCATTAAGAGTTGAAAAGCCTAAGCGCTTTTTGTCGCTCAAAATTATTAGAAAAAGTTAACGTCCATGGTACTACATTAGTTTATTTTTTCATAATTTTAACTATTCCTATTTATTTATTCACTAATTAATTAGATGTTACATTGACTGTTTGCCTTTTCACATTTCTCTCCATTAATTCACACCACAAGAGAACATGTTGCATCATCCAACTTTTTATATTTCCCTCACAACCACGATCCCGGTACGGTATGCAATGTATATCGAGCCCCGTATCTAAGGCAATACCAAGCTATAACGTATCAGCAAAACATAAAATAGATTTATATATTATGAATTATCTCAATTATATTATGAAAAAAAAATGAATTCTCTCTCGAATACCTCTTATGTATTTTTGATTGGACGTTGAATCCGACGTTTTTGAAGTTTATTTTTTTCCATATTCCCTATCGAATTTAAAATATAAAATGAATTGAGAAATATTGATTTTTGGACGTAGTACATAATGTTCACCCGTACAACCCAGCACATTCAGTTTTTCTGAAGTAGACTCTTGTAGAGGGATGGCGGGGGTGAGGTGTCGGGACATGGTCAGGTGTAACCTGGAGAATGACGACAGACGAAGGTTAATGGGACATTTGAAATGCGGGGTTAAGGAACGAGGGAAGAAGTTACAGTGGGACGACGGATTTTTATATTCTACAAAGTGTTACAACATTGCCTTCCGATTCACGGAGCGAGACTTGTTATCAACGATGCCAATTCTGCGATTCAAAATCTGGAAACCGCAATAGTTAGAAAATGATCTAAGAAAGATTATAATGGTACTGAGAGAACTGAGGCTTTCCCTAACTTCGAAAGACTGAAATAACGACACTCACATGCTGAAAATTTGTTATCGCAGGATAATACATGCGTCAGCTACAATGTGTCACAGACACGAAGAACACGATAATGCACACGGAATTATGAAATGGTTAGTGTGGTGCAGTGAATGCTCGGTGTCACGTGTTCCTTATCATTACAGGCATCGCTCTTTTAAAGAGGGGTTCCTCTTCACTGTGCCGAAACGGATATAAACGTGCTGCTTTAACACGAGTATATAAGGAGAGGATAGGACAAGGAAGAGCAGGGGTCGCCAAACTTTTAAGCGATTGAGCTACCTAACAGCTCATGAACCTTACCACGAACTTCCTTATCAAAGTACGAAAATAACGCGTTTTTGTTTAAATTACACTTTTTTATTACCTTAATTTATTACCTAAATATATAGTTATTATTCAACTTAATTAAATGCAATTTAATGCGCACTGACTGACACGCCACGAGCTAGAATGTACTACATAGAGTGGCTGAAGCGCCTCCTCTTTGAAGCAAATTGAAGCCATGCTTTTTTAATGTCAAAGCAGCACCCTCTGGGAAACAAGGTATTCTACACTGCGATTTATGCAACTGTCTCTGACCGGTCGCAGCTGTTCACAGTTTCATCCAATCAGGAATTTGAACATCATAGTAACGTCACTGTGGTGACGTTCAAGCTCCCGATTGGATGAAACGTAACAGCTGATACCTGTCAGGGACAGAGTTGCGAAAAACGCAGTAGAGACAACAGTTTGGCGCTGATTACCGACGGTTACATCGCCACTCGTATGTTTTAACTTTAAAAACCATGGCGGCCACTAGTTCGGCGAGCCTCCACCCAGAGCGCTGAAACTATAGGGACAGCCACTCTATGTAGTAAATTCTAGCTCGTTGCTGACACTTGACAGACGCGCGCGCATAGTGGGGATGAGTAGTGCAGATTAGCCAACCCCCAATCGCTTCGCCTCAAATATCCCCGCGAGCGGCCAAAAATTTCCCTGCGAGCTACCAGTAGCTCCCGAGCTACGATTTTGCGACGGCTGAGGAAGAGGAAGGAAAGATTGCGCGCGGTTCGTTTGTTAGGGCGCTGGCCCGGCATTGTCCTGCGTGTTAGGAGAAAGCAGTAAATATATCAGAGCAGCGCAGCCGCTAAATTTCTCCTCCAGACAGACTCCTGCCGTGTATTCTACCTAGCAGTTTAGCTAGTGGCGAAAATCCTGCCACCGTCGGGACACGAATTCAGGGACCCGCCTGTCGGCGTCGCCGCAACGCAGGCGCTGAGCTACACGAAGTGAGCCGGGCACTGGGGCAGTTAATCCGGGCGCGCGAGGGGGCGTGGTGCGGCTGGACCCGATGGAGCTTCCGAGGAGCACGTGAGGGCCCAACCTGTAGGCGGCCGCCGCCGCCACCGCCGCCACCACCGGTGAGCCAGGCGCCCGATTTACGGTTATTCCCGTCCGGCACGCGGTCGCAGCGGCGGCTGCCAACTCTTCCGTCTGGGTGAGACCCGCCCCACGCCCCGCGCTGCCTCCACCCACGCTCTGCTCTGCTCAGGCTCGGCGCAGCAAGGCTTAGCGTGCAGCCGCAGCACGCCGCGCCGCGCTTAGGCTTCTCGTCGAGGCTAGCCGCACATCGGTTTTGCGCGACACCTACGCGCGGGCGTCCGCGCATCAGCTGCGCTTGCTTTCCAGCTTCTTCGCGCTAGTCGCACGTCGTGACCAGAGCTGACAACGCGACTGTTTGGTCTCCGGGCCGGCAGTCTAGTCCCAGGCCCAGCCCAGCGGCGGCCGCGTGACCGTCTCTCAGCTCGCAGCGACCGCAGGCAAGCCCGCTATCATTAAGCCGCGCTATGGCACCACTTCATAGTCCCTTCATAGTCCGTACTTGCTAGTGTCGGCTTCATAGTCTCTATCATGTCCTCTTGAAAATCATGTCGCCTTGCATGTTCCGGCTTCTATGTCGGCTTCAATAGTGCCTATCATGTCAGCATTCATAGTGGTGCTCTCATGTCGCGCATTGCATTGATCGCTTGCATAGTCGGCTTCATGTCCGTCTTCATGATGCCTTACATGTCCTTATGTCTTCATGTCAACTAACGGGTAGTTCACCAGAATACGCGCCAGATCAGAGCAGCTCGGGCCGCTAGTAATTCCCTCCCTAACAGCCAGCGGCTCAATTCGACCTAGCTGACAAGTTGTGCTGAAACTCTTGCCACCATCGACAGTCCTTACAGGTACCCTTCGGTAAGAGGCACTGCCAGGTGGCTATCAATTTCCATTCCCTCACTCTTCTCGTGCGGCAGTTTCACCCTCCCCGCCACGATGCGCTGCCTTGTGCTCTTTGTCTTTCGCTTCCACCACCTCCGTCGCTGCGCTGCTCCCCCTCACACGCAGCTGCTCGCCGGCTGCCACGGGCCGACGCCGACCAAGCAGCGCTTCGCGCGCGGCGCGCGTACGGGGTGACGCAGTTGAAAAGGGGCGTGCCTCCTTCGAGATTTGAAGGTCACGCCGCAATGAGCACGAGAGATCGAAACTTTCGCTTCGAACAACGCAGGAATGCGCTGGCGTTGTGGACCCGTAGGCGCATGGGGTCACACCAAGATGTTACTTTTTTTTTTTTGTTATTTAAGGTCGCATCAACTACTAGGTCATTAGCGACACTATTGCTTTGTAACGGTATGGTAACTGTGGGTTGACACGATAATGATGATGATAAGGGGGTGAAAGGACGAAACAGCAACACACCAATGCCGAGTCGGGATGCTCTAAACCCGTCCTTCGGTCCGAGTTCGCTACGGCACTACTGCCTTAGCGATCTCGGCCACCGGATCGGCACACGGTTTTTGTTACGGTAGAATAGTACTGTATCGTATACTGCACTGTATCGTACACGATACGTAGCCGATTTTTAACGAACCCTTACGTTACGAGGGAATTGTATCGGAAAACTATACTCTCCCGCAAATTGCGGTTTAAGCACGTGATTTGCGCAGAACTATATGTCACGATTGACTGATGTTCGGCGGCACGCCAACTGCTGAAGTTATTAGTCCTGTATGTGCAGTCCATGTTTTTTTTCGAGGCAGAAGGGGGTGTTCTTCTCCCCACTGCATTGTGAGATCCCGCGGTGACCTACAGGTCCGATTGCGGTTTTTCTCCCCCCAGGTATTTCCTATCAGGGGGGCAATGCCTCAGCCGGGGCAAGCTCTACTAAGATGTCGACTGATATTCCGACATGTGTGGTAGTATAGTGCATGCGAGTGTGTGTGTGTGTAGGTAAATGGGGGTGAGAATAGGGAAGAGGAAGGAAAGATCGCGCGAAGGAAAGATGGATCCGATATGTGTGGTAGTGTAGTGCATGCGAGTGTATGTGTGTAAGTAAATAGTGGAAATAGGACAAGAAAGAGGAAGGAAAGATCGCGCGCGGTCAGTGGCCCTTTTGATAGGGCACTGGTTCGGCATTCTGCTGGGATTGATCGAAGAAAAAACACGAAAACTATCGATTAGAGAAGCCGGCCGCTAAAATTATCTTTCAAACAGCGTCGGATTTCGACTTTGCTATCATGTTAGGGGCGAAAATTTGCCAGCGCTGGGACTCGAACCCTTGGACCTCGTGGTCAAATTTGCTACAGTCAGCGGTAATGCTGCCTGAACTAAGCCAGACTGTAAAATTTACACTGCTATAAATCCATCACCAGGTTACATTTTTTTGAATTATTTTCGTTTATCGATTTCATAACTAAATACAATTTTCTTCGCGCGTTCTATTTGTTCTGTGGATACTTTCTGTGTGCTCTTTCCTGGCAGATAAAGTTAGGAAATTTGATTGTTAACGTTCATGGAGAGAATACTCCAAAACATTGCTGAATAATACGGATAACTGAAGTAGTAACTACAAGACAACTTCGATTTATTTCGGACAATTACATTACCAAAAATTGACCTACATTGTTTACAATACATCGTTATTTATTTAGCGAAAGACATTTCAGTATATGGTCAACGGATCTTTAGAAATTTAAGGCAAAATTCCATCAAGAATGGTACTCATTTGTTTACGAATATTGAAAGTCCATGTCATGTAACTTGTTCATGTGATAACTCTACAATCTACTCAAAAACTGTTCCCAATCCTACTGTTGACGAGACAGCATCTTAAAAAATTCTGACAAACTATCATAAAGTTGAATGTATAGCACAATTGAATTTAACACATGTATTGGTATAAAATGTATTTTTACTCGTAAATGGGTACGTGTGTTGTCGTAACCGTTAGGTAATTATTTGAGGGAAGGGGGCAAGTCCGCGTTGCAGGTGTATTGCAGAGAGTAAAGGTTATATTCAAAATAACACACATATGCGTTACATAGTATATGGATGACCCCTAGGCAGAATAGGCTCGGAAGCACGAAAAAAGGTTACGCTTCACAAACAATTTTTTTTCTTTCTTTTTAAGCAAGAATGTGACCTGACAACAAAACAAGACTAGTCTTCTGTTTCTTCCAGGAAAGGAGCGGCTCCCCCTCTATCTCCTTGGGAAGAAAAAAAAACCCTCAAGGTCAGGCAAGGTTGTTCTCAGTTTGGGGGGGGGGGTTACATTCATTAGAAGAAAACAAGTTATCTCAGATGAATGGAAGCGCCACTGAACAAAAACATAATCTATTTTTTTTCGGTGGGGAAGGCAACATTGTAACATTCTGATCACTTTCTGGAATCCTAATAACAAAAACTGAGGAAACCATAGTCCGTAAACTGTACCTGCAAGATATTCCAAACCACAGCACGCTCGGAAATTCAGACACGTTAATCGTGTCTTACAGCAAATAACACTAAGCAATTTACCTAAAGTCATTAGCAGCGTAATATCGTGGGTGTACATGGGGAAGGTTTGAAGTCCAAAATTTTGGAAACTGCGCCTTTGCAGATACAATTTTGTGGACCAATGTTTCTGAATGCGTCATTGCTAGGTAAATATTAAAAATACGAATTTACGTAGTGCCATTATTTTGGACCCCACGATAATTTAGTCTGATTAAATCCCAAGCAACCCACTTTTAGTGTGTATTTTAGGAAATATCTTAAAAACCGGTTAAATACGAGTATAAAGATTCATGTTCTATAGAATATCATATTATATACTTTAAATTATATTTTATATTATATTATGTATTTATATACAATTTGAAGTCTATTTTATCGTTTCATTTACATTAGGTTTGCAATAGAATACCATTTGTAAAATACCTAATGACATTACGAAACCAGAAATTTAATAATAGTAATAAACACACGCACATTATGTTGTGAAGGAGTAGAAAAATACCTTGAGGTTATTACAGAGGCAAAACTTTAAGTATTTTCTATTATTTAGGTACCACCCTAATCATTATATACTTTTACTATAATTAAGGGCTACTTGGTTATCACTACAAAGCCACATCTAGACTAGAGCGCTACCCATACACCATTCCGAAGGACAACTGAAAACTCCAAAATCTAGACCAACCCACGCACACAACATGGTAAAAAGTTCAAAAAGTATACTTTCAACGTTTAAAAATCAGTGAACTTCCAGCAGCTGACGTTTCAAATGTATTATTCACACTCTTTAACAGATTATCAAATGTATTTGTTATAAGGGGCCAGTTGAAAACCTTTGAATTATCTTCTCAACTATAGTGTTACGAAATGTGTTGCATCATTACAGAGATGAAATATTCCACTGACCTCAGGGTTGAAGTCCGCTGCAGTTAATTCTTGAACACAAACAAGAACTGTGATATGAATTAACTTCGGTCAGATAATGCCACAAATGTGTACATTAACCTTCCGCATATTCAGACTCTTAAATCAATTACTATGCATTTTAATATCTTTTCATCAAAATAGTTTTAGAATTGCACGATTTGTTTAGAACAGTCCATTCTCCTCGCCAAATTCTACAGCATGTTTTGTAATAAATATTCTCAATAACGTTCGTGGATAAATAAGCCTACTAAAGTAAAGTTAGAGGCAAATGAATCAATTCGGGAGATATTCCATTAATTTCACAACTGCTTTAAAAAAAATTACGGAATGCTATAAGTAATTGTATAAAATATAAAAGCAACAATAGAAAGTAAATATAAGACAAAACCCAACGCAAGACTATATAACAAGCAAAACTAAGTTTGACTTCATAGTAATCATACAAAAACACAAATATTGACATCAATGTAAAAGTAAAATTATTTTGATTTATAAACGACAGTTACCAAAATAGATTACAGAAATGCCATACACATGTAAGTATGAAAATATATTTCTTTTGTTTTACCTTCAGTTAGCTTAATTACAGCTTTTTACGCAGAAAAAGCGAACCCTCTGTTTACGAACGTGTCATTCCTGATCTAGATTTGAAAACCCAAAAGGATCTAGCCACATTCCTCGCTTCTTTGGAAAGTGAAAGTCACACTCGTACGATTTCAGCATGAACGGAGGCAATTGACACAATTACACGCTAACAAGCAGCAGTAAAAATACCGAGTGCAACGAGTTTTACAATTGTTACGTAAGCACACTACAGACGTATGTACTACTCGCTGCCTTGTGGTCATTCCAACATCTCGAAGACAGGAAAACTGAATGTCATTTTTGAATTACAGCTCCCGAAATGACGTGATTGTTTTAAAA